AGATATCCTCATTATGAACAATTCAATTTGAAAAAGTGGCATATGCTGCATTGATAACTTCAATTTATCTGCAGTCAATGATTATAAAAAATGTTTGAAAATTGTAACAGAAAAATCAATTTTCAAGTTTTCACAAAAAATTGTCGATGGAAGCATCAAACAAAAAGTCCAATTGGAGACAGCACGGAGTCCAAAGCGTTTCATGAACTGTTGCTCATAGAGATAAAAAATACGAAAACAAAATTATTAGAAAAAATTTATGGTTTATTGAGGAAAATGATTGATCGTGCAGACGAACACGATCGATAGAAGAATGGTTGAAAATGACATAATGCTCTTAGAGCTGAAGACGGTAAGCGAGCAAAGTCTGAGTGACAGGTACTGTATATTTGAAAGATGATTGATCAATCTCTAAAAACCACAAATTTTCAATGGTTTTCATTTGAAAAATCAAAATTTTGAATCAAACTTATAAACCCACAGAAGTGAAGCAATTGTGTAATCAGATAAACAGTCAGTACAACTTTTTTAAATTCAAGATTTATTTAGTCGATAGAGCATTTTGCCTTTGAAATAAATAGCAAGCCTTTCTGCATTGAGGCTCAAAAATTTAATTCCTCAAAGTAAAAATGTCTAACAAATTTTATTCTGGCAAATTAAACATATCTTTCTAAGTCATTCCATTTTAAGATAACACAACATAATTGACGTTTATCGAAATGCATTGAAACTACAAAATAGCACGCAAGTTTTCGGAAACTGCTGTAGCCAAATTGGTGTGAGAGCATTGCTTAGTGTGAAACAGCTATCGTCCTGACGGAATCCGAAGATTCAGGTAGAGTGTTGATCATAAGGCTTGATTTTTTTTCTTACTATTTCAAACAACTAACGGTTTTTCGAAGACAAGTCTTTTCAATAGAGAAGACAAATATCGATGCAAAATTGAGAAGAAATATCATGATGCGAACTGTTTGGATCCTGCTAGTGATCAGAACGTGAATGTGAAAGCTTGAATCATCTCAGACATATATTGAAAAGAAGGTTGATCTCTCAATAACACAATTAGTTGTAGATGAGTAATCAATTATTTTGGTCAAAAAGCCACCGTATTTTGAGAGGAAATAGCGTAATCATGGAAACACTCAAAAGATCAGATTCATATTAAAAAACTCAAAATTTAATTTGTTGAGCAGAGGGTTAATCAATGATAAAAACTGATAGCGCTTCAAACTTTTGAATAGAAAGCTCTTGCTAAAACCAATTTGAACTTAATAAGAAGATACTGAGAACAGTTGACCAGATTGTGGTATCAAATTAAAAAGTTATTTATTTGCATATTCTTTTAATGGAAAAATCAAAAAATTTGGATGCTCAAATTATAACTCCGAATTCATATCAAGTTTTGAGTCTGTATCCATAACTTGTCTTAGCTTGTGTTCAGTCTTTGCCGTTTGAATTTTCTCTAATTTGAATATCTGCTTTCCTTAAAAGTCGCAAATAAGTTTTCACCTGCTTTATTCGATGGTCACTCTGTTCTGTCGTATATATTGGCACACAAATAACAGTTTTCTCCCAGTTTCTAGGTCCGCTTTGATGAATATTCTCAAAAAATCTGTTAGCACAAAACGTTAATAGGAAATACTTAACGTTTTCTAGAAGCCCCGAAAATTCTTTCCTTTTTAAAGTGGTATATGCAAGTCTTAGAAATGGCTGCAGCAAAATTAATGGGCAATTTTGGCTTGCATCAATGTTCTCGTTTTTCAAGATCTTTACCCACTTCAACTTATTAGCTCTTTCAAACTTTCAATAAAATCAAAGCTTTTGTCATAGATTTCAGACGTTTTTTCAGTCTTCTGTAGACACGGAAAATGGAAATGTAGAAATTTTCATGCCAATTTCATTATTTTAGAGTTTTCAGTGTTTCGTAATTTTTCTTTGTTTTTACCTTCATTTGGCTTAAAAAAAATTTTCATTCTTATTTTGGCCAAATTGATCATTTATTTCTGCTTAAATAGAGGTGGCGGCCGCCGTACTTGACGAATTTTCCTTTCTTCGAGATTCAGCAATAAAACATGCATTTTTCAAGGAAATCGTTCACCGCAGCCAACAGTTAAGCTACGCTGCCAAAATATTGGCTTTCCTATATACCATATAGTTTGGTTGCATATAATAGGTATATAACGTCATTTTACATGTAAACAAGCCAATACCCCCAAACTTTAGAAGGGAAAACATGCACCAACCAAAACCTAATTCCTTCCCCGTTTCCATAAAGTGGATGGAAAATTACCAATTTTAACCCCCCTTAAAACATGCGTGCCCGAAAAAGTAGGGGCTTTAACCCCTTTGGGGGTTAAAAGTGGTAAGTACAACGGCACACTGAATTTTTTGGGGGGGGGGGTTAAAAGTGGTCATTTTCCTAGCCACTTTTACTATACTACTGATTTGCCTCACACCTAATGCAGATTACCATTTTTCTACCACCACCTTGTTTGAATCCTTTAGAATGCCCTAGTATAAATTTTGTAATGTTTTTTAATCCAGATTTGATTGCTGCATTTAATACGCTGGCCCCTACCCTAGTACACTTGGAATGGAAATCTTGAAAAAGTCTTGCAAATGAATATGAAACTTGCAGTAATTATGCAATATTGCAAAAAAACTTTGCAATTTGCATTCTCAATTCGAAATGAAAATCTTGCATGAGTCTCGCTAACTATTTAATCAAGTAGAAATTACACTGCTGATTTATACCTTAAGAATTTGGCGCAAAACCAAAAATTCAAGTTCATTCAATTTTGCCAATAATAAATTCTATTATAATCAGTTGGCGGGTAAAATACATTCAGTTACTTATACGATTAATTTTTCTAAACTAACTCAGCTCTACAAAAATTTTTCGCTTTTTCATGAATTGATGCATATACTTTCAAGAATATTTGGTAATTAATGCAATCGAGCAAATTTTCTGTTTTCCTTGCATCAAAGAAATTATAATCCAGCAAAATTCTGCTATATAGAAGCTAGCAGAGTTTTTTCTGAAAGTAATTGAAAAACCGAATCAGCAAGACAACTCACAGCATAATTTTCTTAGTAGACTGCAAAATGTCTTTTAAAGCAAACTCACAGCAAATTTTGCAAAATGAAATCAAATCTTGCAAACTAAAAATTGATCACATGTAAAATATTATTTCAAATTTCAACTTTGGTCATCCATAAATTACAGGGGTAAAAAAATTTGTCGAAAACATTTAATTCAAAAATCCAAATTGGTCTGAATGCAAAAACCAGCACATTATAAGTATTCGCTCACTTTGTTGAAAGCCAGAACATAATCAAGCGTAAAACTGCGAAAAAAAAACAAGAATTGGGGAATTGTTTCTGAAAAAAAATTTAAAACATCAACACGACCTAATTAACTCTTTTTGGAAGATCCATTGCCGCTGAAAAACGAAATTTATCTGTAGGATTTTTTCAGACATTTCAATTGTTGTTCGAACTTTCGTTACGAAAGTAACGGAATATTTTAGCTCAAGGTGAGTTTTTTTTTCTTCAGACAAATCTCGACTTTTTAACTAGCCTTTTCTGACGGAATTTTTCAAAATCTTTCAAAAAATATTGTTGTCCTGAGCTTAAAATTGGAAAAAATTGTCACCTCTGATCAATTTTCTTAAAGTTATGGTGGTTTAAGGGTTGCCATTTTGGTCAATTTGGGACAATTAACGCGCGATATATTTCACGCTATTAACCCGTAAGCGGAGATTTAATCCGTCTTAGAAATTGTTGCAAATCGGTTGAAGGAAGCCCAATTGCCGTAATCGATTTGTTACTAGGAGCAAAATGTATCTGTTTGTACTTTACATGGCGTGTGGGGAGATGATTTTCACAAAAAGCTCAAACTTCGAAAAAAAATTCATTTTGGTCTACTTAACAATCGCCCCCCCCCCCTATGGTACCTACTTAAGAATATCCACCCCTATAAATAAATACAGTAAGCTAGCACTGAGCTTTCTTTTGAGAATTAAAATTTTGCTGCATTCTGATTGGTCAAAAAATCGATCATTTTGATCTACTTAACAATCTCCCTCATTCCTTTTCTCGAAAGGGGTGGAGATTGTTAATCAGATCCAATCAATTTGATTTATTACATTAAATTTTTTCATGTTATTTTTGCTCCAGAGACCTTCAGAGGCAGTCGGTATTCAGTATCATTTAGATCAGTCTCATTTGTATATACTGACAACCAATTATCATAGAATAATTTCTCTTGCTCTGTTGCCAATTTATATTAATTTGAGAGAGGAATGCGCGTCAAAAATTGATCATCTTTTTCCAATCAGCTGCGTAGCACGCAGAAAATTTTGCACGCCAAAAATTGATAAATACGGTCAATTTAGGCAGGGGCGGATCTAGGATTTTCTAGAGGGGGGTCGTCGAAAATTTTGACGACCTTTTTTTTTTTATTTTTAGGTTGACCAAATTGATTTTCCGCGCTCTCGTAAAGCACTAAAAAGACGCTGTTTTCGCCATATTTTTTGCGCCGCAGCCAAACTTTTGAAAAAACAGGTAAAAAAGCCGTTTTAAGCACGTTTTGGAAAATTTTGCCACTTGGAAAATTTTGAAAATTGCGTTTTTTTGGCGCGCGCTCCCCTCAAAGTTAGTATAGATTGGCGCCAAAGGCGTTTTTAGAAAAGTTTAAGGATCGGTCGGCCAAAAATGGATTTCTTAAAAAGTACCAAAGGGGGGAGGACTCTTTGGGTCGGCAGGGGGTCGAATCCCTGAGGGTGGGGGGGGGGCGTCCCCCCTAAATCCGCCCCTGAATTTAAGGATCTGGTAGAGCTCAACAATTTTGAAATGGATGACCTCAAGATATCAACAAAGATTTAATTTTTTTTCTAAAAATCGCTAAGCGGTCAGAAAAATTCATGTGCATACTACTGCGCAAAGTAGGTTTTCGTACGACTGAAAATTAATTCAACTAATTAATTTCATTATCATTTTCAACGTGAGCTAAATTTCAAATTTAAAACTAAATAGTCCAAATAGCTCAGCAAGAATATTTTCTGTTCTCATCGCATCATTTCATGGAATTACATTATGTAGTTCAGTTGGCTACTTAAGATGTGCATACATATGCAGGGATCCGATCGACGACTTCTTAGTGGGAACTGGAGTTGCAACTGGAGTTGAATCGGATCCCTCAGTAGATGCAGAGGCTGCGGAGGAGTTGGCGGCGGCGGCGGCGGCGGCAGCATAGGCGGGATTGCTTTTGCTGCGACTCACTTTGTTCGATAGCTCCTCAAACATCTGCGAGATATTAATATGAAAGATGAGATGACAGCAGTCAGTCGCAATGATAGTGACATCATATAACAATAGTTACATCATATGAAAATAGTTACATCATATAACAAATGCATGAGATGTTGCGGAAACTTCCTTAAAATGAACCCATGAAAAAATTATTGAAATAAGGGAGGATGCTCAGCACAATCGCGTCCAGTTTCAAGCGTTAATAATCGATTATAATACAATTTAGTACCAGTTTTACTAAAATTGAGAAAAAATCAATTTAAATTAATTAATAATCGATTATAATCGATTATTTATTCTATTCGTCTATGTTTCGATACAATTATAATCAATTATAATCCATTATTTTTATTCAAAATTCTAATTCATTAGTTTTGCAAAAAATCCATTATAATCGTTTGTTTGTCCATTTTGTCTTCGAAGTTGCATCTAAATTGCTGATATTTTATGGTTTTTGTAGACGTTGGTCCTATGAAAAATGAGAAAATTTTTTTAAAAGTTTTCATAGCATTCAAATTTATAAGGTTTTTTTCATTTCTTCCCCATTAGAGTTGTTTTGTGATGCATAATCTAGGCTTTTTTACCCACCAAAACATCAGCAAATTGATTTAGTTTCACGATTGATTGGGAGGATTTGTTTTTCATCTATCGCGGGAGCCTTTCCACTAATACGAAAGGATCTCAATGAAACTTTTGTTTCGTGGTAAAACTGTGTTCAGATGAACCAAAGTGTTCAAGAGATCTCTTTTCTAGAGATTTTCTTATTGACACAAAATTAATAACCCATAAAAAATAATTCGAATATTTTTTTTGAATTGTCAAAATTTTGGCTAAATAAGAGATTATAATCAATTATAATCAATTATAATTGATTTTAAGGGTTTTTTGTAAGAAATATAATCAATCATAATCGATTTTAAAATATCACGACTATAATCAATTATAAATCCTTTAATTTTGGTACTTATAATCAATTATAGTTGTCAAAAAATCATCAGAATAGGCCGTTATAATCAATTACTCACGCCTAAACTTGGATGCGGGCACCGCCATATTTTAAAGCCGAAGGTACACCAAAATAACGCAGAAATTGCTTAACAATCTATTTTTCCTTCGCGCAACAATTTTAATTGTCGGCTAGTTGGAATAGTAATCTTATTCTCGGTTTGTTGACCCTTCGGCTTGTAGGCGGATCACCGAAAGAACTAAATTTGTTCTTTTCGAACCGAATAACCTTGAAGATAATCATGATCCTAATGAAAATTCCAAAAATTGTTTGGAAAAATATTTAGATTGAAAGAGCTATAATGGCTTTTATCAATGGCTTGAGGCATAATATTTTTGAATTTTATGTTTTATTGGCTTTTTTTCTGCCATTTCATTTTTTTAAACTCTGCCAAAACATCACGTGATCTGAGAAGCTTGATTTTTGCGAGATCCCGCATCAAAATTTGTTTATTTTGACGCCGACGGAGCCACTAAACTGGACGTCGTAAAATAGTATCAAAAGAAGGCCCTCTGAAGAAATGTTGATGGCCCAGAATTGATGAAAAAGATAACACGGCCCTTCTCGGTCGACACCGTAAAAGTTTCATTCCTTCAGCTTGTATCAAGTTAAGACGAGTTATCCGCGAGAGAAAGGACCAACGTTCGAGCTGTTGAGCTCCTGCTTAAGAATTACTTGTTATTTTTGGTAATTAGCTGGACTGGGTCGTTGTCTCACACTCAAGCAAGGAGCACTGATAATGGTGATAACGTCCGATCAGTGGCGTGCGCAGAAGTTTTTCTAGAGGGGGACGGTTTTCAAAATTTTTGAAAATTTGCGGACCTTTTTTTTAGGTCGACCAATTTGTTTTTCCGGACTGACCGAAAATACTATAACTTAATAGGCGCCTTTAGAAAATTTGAGGTTCATCAGCCAAAAATGGATGTCGTAAAATAGAACCAAAGCGGGGACGCTGTCATACCGCAGTGTATGAAAACTGTTAAAATTGAATCCGAACGGATTGGTAAGCAACGAATAACACTTAACTGAGAACTCAAAAAAAAACAAATAGTTTGTAATATCTTTATTTATGTTCTAACAACCATATCGTGATGTTGCGTTATCGTACATCATACAAGGTCACATGACCAGCTCAACGCAGCGAGCTAACATCAATATAAATTAAACACTAGCTTTGCCAACCCGGCCGAATGACATTCCCCCGTGGGAAAAATAACACAAGTTGTTAATTTGAGTTTTATGTCCCATGAGGACAATGTTGAGTTTTAAGTCCTCATCGGACTTTATGGTTTCTACGTTGTTTGTTTTTCTCTCACTTCCTGTGTGATTTCTCCTTCGTCGTCCTGATCCTCTTTTTGTTGTTTCTTTTGATGTTCCCCGAGGTCGTCTGTTTTATGATCTGTTTCTGCGTCGAGTTTCTTGTGGTGTTTTTTCGTAACCTCTATATCTTGGGCTCTCCGCAGGGGACACCAAGTCGATAAATTCCATTGCCTGTTGGTCTTTTCTCTTTTGCTTTGGTTTTATGGCTTCTAAAAACTTGAGATAAACCTCATCTCTGAGATAAGGCTTTGTAGGCTGGGTTTTCAATCGGGCGTTGAGAAGGTTGTCGTGGCTTTTTCCTGGTGTTTTGTGTGTGGGTGATTCGATTGGGAATTGTTTTGCCGATGATTGGATTACGTTTCCTATGGCATTTATCAGGACCGGGTTCCCCAGTGCCCCGGCTAAAGTTCATTGTCGGGCTCCATTCGACTTTTTTGTCGGTGGTAGTAGTTTGGCGGCTTCTGGCGTTTTTTGTTTGTTCACCCGCTTCGGTGATGGTGCGGTGATTTCCGAGGTCGCTAATCCCGTGTGACCCGACCAGGCTGATGTAGCGCTCTCTGACTGCTTCTTTTGTGTGTCCGTCGATTTTGATTCCGCGTGGAACTTCATTCTCACTGTTGGTGTTGGTTGTGTCGGTTTCCTCCTGTTCTTTTCCTGTGGCTTTTCTTTTGATCGGACTGTCCTGTAACTCCTTACGAGTTAGCTTCACTGGCAGCTCAGTTGTCTCCACCCGGAACATAGGGTGTTATGGTGCTCTAGGATCTGTGATATCTAAAAAACGCAAACAAAGTCTTGTTCTCCGAGCAGATTGATATGTCACATAGTCGCAAAGTCGTGACGGCCGGCATGATGCGAAGATTAGGGAGGATTAGGAACGAAGGCAACCCCACTGTTTTTTAGTAGTCTTGGTGGTTTTCCTTTTGTTTATACCGGCGCTGTGTGTGGCATGTATAATAAGAATTTTCCGTCGATAATTTTCTATTTTTGCCCAATTGTTTTTTGGTTTTTTCACTTTCGGTGCCACTCGAATTGTTTTCCGTGCTTCTTGTTTTATTCATTTTTTGATATTTGGTTCGACTTGATGAGGAACATTTTTATATCTTTCATTTATTTCCTCTTCTTCAACAGCTAACGCTCGCCTAGTTTTCACACCTGTGTGTTGTCTATAGCTGGAGTGTGTTGACTGATTGCATGCTCTGGGATTCCTTTTTTTAGTCGTGACCTCATCTTCCGACCACTTTTGGAGGTTGTGCATTGTTTTTGCAGGAATTGGAGGGTCCATCAATTTTTTTCGATCTAAGCAGGCGTGTTTGGCGTTTTCCCTATTCAAATTGTTAGACGAGCTACTTGTTGCTTTATTTGAGTTTGGGGTATTTGCTTTTCTACCCATATGTTCTTCAAATGGTGTTATTCTTGTTATTCCGTGTGGAGCTATACGTAAAGGTTTGATAATTTCCGCAACATCCGAAGCTAATTTGAACGAAGTGTTGTTCGCAAAAATTCTCATAACTTCGAGTCGCCGTTTAAGTGTTTGTATCAATCTCTCTACCACCCCTATGGATCTGTGGTCATCAACCGGTGCAAAGAAGACTTTTTTATGGTTTGAATTGCCAGAAAATTGAAATCTTTTGGCTCGAAATGTTTGTGCCTGATCGCATCTTAGCTTACGTGGTACTCCGTTATTTGATATGTAACTCTGCATAAATTTTAATGCGACGTCCGCTGTCGTTTCAAAACTACTTTTTCTGTTAGGTTTTTGACCACTTGTCTATAGCAACTAATATAAATACATCTTTATTTAGCTCGTGGGGAAGAAGTCTCGCAAAGTCGAATTGTACCTTTTCGTTAGGTTCGACAACCAGTTTCATTTGGAATGAGTGTTTTTCTGTTGCTTTCAAGTTTTTGGTTTATTGGTTTCGAGTGATTATTGGTTTCAAGGTTTTACCTTGTTCCGTAAACTGTCGACGTCCTTGTGCCATCTGCACAATTGATCTGTGCATGTGAGGAAACCAGATGTGTTGGCAGAGGTCTAGCATGGCCGCCGATCCGGGTTGAGTGAGGCGCAAGCTATCAAGTAGTGTCTGTCGAAGTTGAGTAGGAAGTACACTGCGTTCGTCTATGAGCAGGCAATCATCTCGTGCGTGAAGGCGGTGTCGTATATTTTACCATTACTAGCCGAACGACATCTTGAGGGCTTTCCAGTCTCGTTTTTTTTTCACGGAGTAAACGAGTGGGCGCATATTTCTGTCTTTTCAGGTTGCGGCGACGGTAAAACTGACTCCCAGCAGTTTTTGCAGGTTTTTCCTGTACAGCATTGTGTCCTCCTCGATTTCCGTGTTTCTTTGTAGACGGTGGATACCAGTCTTTCTATTACGAGCTCATGGCTGGCCTCTAGTTGTGTCCGTGTTTTTGTCATCGTGTGCGGTTCCACATTTGGTTGAGTTTCCTACTGAATTGTTGTATTTGGATCCACCCAGCTCACGCAGTGTTCGTTTATTTCTATTGTCCCGATTGATAGTTCGGTTTGGGTGTCAGTGTTTTGCGCTTTTGGCTCCGTTTGTGTGGAAGATGATGTTGCAGTCTGGTCTTTTGTTCTTGAGGATGCGTTTCCGTTTTCAGTATTTGTTTCCATGGCTGACTTTTTACTCGTGTCCTCTTGGTGTGTGCTGTTGTCACCGAAAACGGTTTTTGGAAATGTGGCTGTTTTTTTTCAGCTGCTTTTTTGATGTTTCCGCGAGTCCTTGATTGTGGCTGGTGAATTGTCTAGTGTCTGAATGGCTGATAGGTCTTTCGTTTGTCCTTCGTCTATGCCATCGTGGATCTGAGAGGCTCTCCTCCTGATCGGATTCTCCTTGGCACTTTTCTGTACGACGACTGGTTCTGTTGCGGTCTGTGTCAACATCGTTTTCGGATCAAACCCTCCTTCAAATCACATGTAATTATTTCGTTTTCGCACACTCTTTGTGTTTTGCTGTACTTGTGCAAAATTGACAAAATCGATTTTTCTATTCACTGGTATCTGTTCCGACTGGATCTTGGAAGAATTGTCAGCGAATGATTGAGATTTTTGTGAGATATTTGACCACTTATGCGATGAGTGAAATGTTTAAACTGCACTTTAGAGCTGGATTGGCTGGTTTGCGTTCTTTCATTTTCCGCGCGTGTTTTGATCAGTCGACATGGTGCTCGCTTTTGATTGGCCGGCTTTTTTAAGATTAAGTTGTCAATCATCTCAAGATTAGCTATGAATAAGTTGATTGACGCCACAACAAATTCCTCATCGTACTCACTAAGGGGTATTGCTAATCCAACCAGATTCCAGGACACGTAGTCAATTAATCCCATTTTATTCCCCGCCAAACGTTTTATGTCAAAATTGAAAGGAATTAGCCAATCGATCCATCTTGTTAGTCTACACTGACTAGTTTTTGATCTTTCGGTTGCGTTGAATGCGCTGATTAAAGCTTGATGATCTGTAACGACCGTAAAATTTTTGCCGTATAAAAAGTATTTGAAGTGTACTATGCCCAAACGACACCCAGGAGTTCCAGCTCGTTTACTGAAATTTTTTTTCATGGAATTTGGACATCTTGACGCATATGCAATTGCCAACCAACCTTTTGATGTAATTTGATCTAAAGCAGCTCCTAAATTGGAAGTTGATTCGTCACAAACCACGAGTGGTTCAAGGTTTTGGTCAGAGTGTTTATTCTGTGTAATTTCTGCGACTAATATTTCAAACTTTTTGAATGTTGATTCATGTTTTGATTACCAATCTAATTTTTGTGTTTTTCTGTGTTTTGTGTTTTTCTGTTTTTTGCTTTTTGTAGTAGTGGACGAAGTGCCGCGGCAGTTTGTGACAGTTGGGGAATGTGTCTTGTTAGATTATGTATTGAGTCCATTAAACGTTTTGCTTTTTTGAAGATTTTAGGTGGAGACAGTCTTTCTATGGCTCCTGTTTTTCTTGTTAAGTGTGCTGTGCCCTCGCTATCTTTATTATAACCTAGCTATTCAATTTTTTTGCACGCAAACTTACATTTGTCTATAGAAATGGCTTTTGTAAGGCTCTCTGCATTTTGTTTTTGTGTACCTCCACCGATCCTTTGTTAACATTTAGTTTATATTTGAGATATGCATATGTATTTTTGAAATTTGCGTGAGATAACTTGCTTTATAGAATTCTGCCGGCATATCCGTAAGGCCATAAGGCCGTAAAAACGTGTTTCAAAATGGTAGGTTTGGGTGGCGTTTCCCACGATGAGGCTAAAACTGCACTGCTCGCGGGTTTGTTTATCCAAGGAGGTTTAGATTTACGAATAAGCATTCTGTAAGTCAAGTGACGAATATAATCTTTGTTCTTTTGTGTCAGGTTTTTTTGTAGCTCTATCTTTGGCATTTGGTATTTGTTTTTTTTTGATGAATTCTTAAATTTTTTTTTTCGAATCTAATGCAAGTTTTACTGTTTGATCTTTCTTACGGTAATTATAATTGGGCTGATGAATTGTTTGTTTGAGCATTTGTCTAATTTTACAATATATTTGTGGTCAATCAACTTGTTTAACTCTTTCTTGGATATGAGTTGGGATTCTGTGACTCTTTTGCTGAACAGGAGTCACGTCCGGAATGAACTATGTTTTCATTACGTGGTTTTTTGCTTTTCTAATTCTGATGCAAAGTTGCAAGAATTTTTCCCTCTCCCACTGTTTTATTACTAAATTTGATTTTCTCTCTCGCTTAAATTTAGTATTTGGTAATTTTGGGGTTTTTCCTGTATCAATTTTATCCCAATTTGCGGTAGTAGGTTTCGACCGACTCTATTTGCTTGTTGGTCGTCCACCACAAAAAATGAGGCTGATTGAATTGTCCATCCCGCAGATTCGATTGCGATGATTATCCGTATTTTTGTTACAATGAATTTTCCATTGTAGCATGCTAGTTTTCGTGCTGTGTCCTCCCTGGGGATATGTTTGACTACTGTTGAACTGTCGTTTAGTTGCAAGCGGCGTATTGTTGTTTCGTTTAAGAAAGACATCGGAATGCCAGAATCCGCAATAGCGAATACGGATTCGGATTTCGTCTTGAGTTTTATGATATGTCCATTCAAGTCTTCGTCAGTGATTTTTGCTGATGTTTTGACTTCGAATGCTTCGGCGATTGCCATCATGCAAAAATTATCTCTCTGTAATCCTTCCCACCCGCTCTGTGACGTGAAATCAACAAATTCAACTGGGTCATTTTCTTCTATGTTTGGAAATTGGTCGTCTTCTGCGATGGGTTGTTTTTTTTTGTAGGAAGTTGACCTCTTCCGATCTACATACTTTCGCAAAGTGTCC